CTAAATGGGGAAATGGCGAGTTAAATTTCTGGAAACAAATATCTGACTAGGATTTCTATCACTGTAGCTCTGAATGGTTTGAAATAGATGTTCTCCAGATTTTCTTTAGCTACCATAAACATAATTGCCTCTACCTCCTCCCTTTAGAACAGCGTAAAGGCAGAAGCCACCAAAGGCTTTTATTAAAATTGAACTGTCCTCTGGAGCAACTTCTATGTAGTCATGAGACCTTTAGTTTTTAGCAAGAGCGTAAATGCCACAAATGGAACTGAACAGCAGGTAGGGTCTTCAAATAATTTAAAAACAGAACTATGGTATGATCCAGCAAACTCCACTTCTGGGTATATACTCAAAAGATTTGAAAGTAGAGTCTCAAAGAGATATTTGCACCCATGTTCATAGCAGCATTATTCACAATAGCCAAGAGGTAGAATGAACCTAAATATCCTTAGAAAGATAAATGGATGAATAAAATGTAGTATATACCATGGAATATTACTGTCTTAAATAAATGAAAGAAATAGACTTTGAGGACATTATTCAAAGTGAAATAAGCCAGTCACAAAAAGACAAATATTGTATGATCCCACTGACACAAGTGTTCAGTTCAGTTCAATTCAGTCGCTCAGGTGTGTCCGACTCTTTGCGACCATTTAAGCCAACTTTTTCACTCTCCTCTTTCACTTTAATCAAGAGGCTCTTTAGTTCGCCAAAGATACATAGTCCAGATCTACGGGTTTGAAGGAAACAGCAGGTCACCATTACCCCTCACAGAATTAAGAAAACAATACTATCCTTTAAGGAATTACACCGCTGGCATGGTCAAGCAGACATTCCTATCTTTGTACAGATGCACATTGTACATTAAAGAGGGCCCTGTCAGACAGGAACTATGTTATGTTCAAACTTTCTTGTGCAGCCTGAAAAACTTAAATCCTATTCCATCATAGAGTATATGAAATAATCAAATTCATAGAAACAAGTAGAATGATGATTACCATTTTATGGGAATGAGGTAAAAAATGACAGCTATTTAATGGGTACAGAATTTCAATTTTGCAAGATAAGGGTTCTAGAGATCTGTTCCACAGCAATATGAATATTCCTAAAACTACTGAACAGTACATTTACAATGGTTAAGACTTTTTTTTTGCAATAAATAAATAAATATTTCTTAAAAAACCAGTTGGCTATAAATGTATGGGTTGATTTCTGGATTCTCAATTGCATTATATGTCCATCTTTATGCCACTACCATATCATGTTGGTTACTATAGCTTTATACTAAGTTTTTAATTGAGGAAATCTGAGTTCTCCACCTTTGTTCTTCTTTTTTAAGATTTTTGTTTGTTTGTTCATATCGCAATTTGGTATGAATTTGAAGAATGGCTTTTTCTTTTCTGTAAAAAAAGTTGTTGGAATTTTGATAGATATGAAATTGAATCTGTAGATCACTTTGGATAGTATTAACATCTTAACAGTATTAAGTCTTCCTATTTAGGAACTTGGAATTTCTTTCCACTTATTTGAGTCTTCTTTAATTTCTGTCAGCAATGTTTTGTAGATTTCAGTGTACAAGTCTTTCATTTCATTGGTTAAATCCATTCGTGGGTATTTTATTCCTTATGTGCTATTATAATTGAAGTTGCTTTCATAATTTTCTTTTCGGTTTGTTCATTGCTGATATAGAAACACAACTGACTTTGTATGCTGATCTTATACTCTGCAACTTTGCTGAATTCATCTATCAGTTGTAGTTTTCTTGTGATCCTGTCATGATATTGCCATCTGTAAATAGAGACAGTATTACTTCTATCTTTTCCATTTGAATGGCTTCGATTATTTTTCTTGTCTAATTGCTTGAGAATGATGTTAGCTGTAGTTTTTTCCATAAATGTTCTTCATCATACTGAAGAAGGGCATGATATTTTAAGTGGTGAAATACAGTTTGCTTCTCACCTCACGTTCCATGAAATGGAGATATCTGTAATAAAAATGTATGAAGTTGGGTTAAAATAGGAATACTGTCATTTCAAGTGCTACCCTTTTATATCATTTATAAGAAATTGAAGGATACTAGAGCTGATGAGTTAACTGACTTCTCTAGTAAATTTCATAGAGAAATCAGACTTGTACTATGACATTCCTAGGAACCCTCTGACAGTAAACCACACTCATCTCATTTACAGTCAGACCGCCATACCTGCAGGTTCTGCAGCCACGGATTATAACAACTCCCTATCAAAAATATTCAGAAAAAATATTCCAGAAAGTTCCAAACAGGAAAACTTGAATTTACCATGCACCACCAACAATTTACATAGCATTTATGTTGTACTAGGTATTTAATCAAGAGATGATTTAAAAGTATACAAGAGAATGTGTGTAGGCCATAAGCAAATAACTATGCCACTTTATATGAGACTCAAGTATCCATGGACTTTGGCATCTGCTGGTGGTCCTGGAACATCATGGATGCAAAGAGACAACTGTATATCCACTCATTAATAGGCCTGTGTTGTAGTGGTTATAGTTTGGTCACTTTTGGACCTACTTTCTGTATTGGGTATTCCACATTTTTTTAAAGTATCTTTTTTTTTAATTTCAGCTGGAGTTATCCATAATTTAGTTGAATTTTTAACTTCACTTTAAAAATCTTAGACTTGGTTTTATGCTCGTCAATATTGGTTAGGTCAATCATATGAAATCAGTTACTAGGATGAAGTTTATCATTCTAAGAATAGCTTAGTCAAACCTTCACTTATTGATACTTTAACTTTTAATTTCTTGTCAAATTATGGAATGCTTCACAAATTTGCATGTCATCCTTGAGCAAGAGCCATGCTAATCATTTCCAACTTTAGTATGTGTGCTGCCAAGGCGAGCACTATTCTGCATTATTTATTCACAGTTAGAGTGAACTCTGGGAGTTGGTGATGGACAGGGAGGCCTGGCATGCTGTGATTCACGGGGTCGCAAATAGTCAGACACGACCGAGCGACTGAACTGAACTGAACTAAAAGCCAAACAAGTCAGGCACTCATTCCCGATTACCTTGCAAACAATTTTTAGCTAGTACACAATCATGTGTTTTATAAACTTCTTGGATATAACGAGCATCTTTTTCTGAAACAGAAAGCAGGAATCATGAGTAATTCAAACAACTATTTTTATAAGGGAAGTCTCCAAGTAAATGAATACTTCCAATATTTCACCTAAGTTTTCAAAGTTTTCAAATACCTACAGGCTTTAATTTTCAAATAAACCAGCTTTCTTTCACCCGCCTAGTCGCTTACATTTTGACTATTTCAGGATAAAAATCAACGATCAAACAAGTAGAGTCATGAGTGGTCATAATGACAGAAATACATTGCCATGCATATATGAATCTTCATTATCATAGATCTTCATATAGATCATAGTTCATTAGTCTTGGGATCTGGGATATGTATATTCTTCTCTTGAGAGATAAGGAAATCCTGGAATATGGTGTTCCTGAGGCAGAATCAATCATTTGACTGGAATATAAACAACATAGGGTATAAATTTATTTCACTAGTTTAAAAAAATTAAATTTTAATTTTAATTCTATCCTATTCCATTTTATTCTTATACTTCTACTGCCATGGCTCCAGAACTACATTCCTTGGTACATAAAAAGCTCTCATGATATACTCGTTGGAAGAGTGGTGATTAAAAATACCCTAAATGTCTAGGGGGAAAAAAAGTGGATAAATGAAATAGGATATATCTATCCTGTGGACTGATTTGCCACGTTTAATTTCTAAGGAAAAAGATAGTGTTTACACGGAAAGAGCCCAAGATACATTACGTTAAAAAAAAAAAAGTCAGAGAATGGTATACTTTGTATGACTGCATTTCTGTAAAAAAAAAATATTTATATATTATACATACATGAATTCAGAGAAAATAGGAGTGTACAAAATATAATAAAATATTGTTGGTGGTTACATTTGGAGGAGGAAGCTATAACTTTCATACTTTATTCAGGAGGTAAAACGGCACTCAATTTTGACTAGGAAACAAAACAATAATTATTAGATGCCAGCGAGGGTGTGATTTACAAGGAAATGTTTGAGAACTAGTTCATGACTTCTGAACATGGAGAGACCATGTTCAATATAAAATAAATAGATCTATATTAAAATCCATAAATTTATATATATTTATATAAGATTTATAGATCCACAAAATCCATAAATCTATATATGCTTCAATTTCTTATAAATAATATAGATCCACAGATCTCTATTAAAAGCAATAAAGATCCAATCGATCTATATTAAACATCTATATAAAATATCTTTGCAGACAGTAGTGTGCAGTGGTAAAGAATCGTCCCGCCACCGTAGGAAACTCAAGTGACGCGGATTCCACCCCTGGGTGGGGAAGATCCCCTGGAATAGCAACCAGGGCAGGGCCTCTGTCCGGGACGAAGCGGAAGAGCAGCCAAGAGAAGCAGGCGGGGAACTGGGCCACGCTCACTTTCTCTTCCAGCACCAAGGGGAAGAGAACTATCTGAGTCCCAAAACTCGCTATTTTAACATTTCCTCGCGCTGTTTCAGATAAACCAACCTCTCGTACTCTCCCGTCGTTATCAATCGTTCGCCCCAAATCTCGTGACTTCCGAAAATATCGCGATGTTTCAGCTATTACTATTTTCCTTAGCAGTCCCTGTGAGAAATTTTTTAAAGTCCGTTTTTAACACTATGTGTTGGTAAATTGCATATACACATTGCTCTTCCCACGATATTTTGTTTTAGAAATTAGGGGGTGGGGAAAAAAGGATGTGTCAGAAGTGGGATTCGAACCCACGCCTCCATACGGAGACCAGAATCCCCAAGGCGGGGAAGCTTCGCTTGAGTCTGGCGCCTTAGACCACTCGGCCATCCTGACACCTCGTGAAAAGAAGAAAGATTTTCCACTAAAATAGATACAAAGATCAGCGTCTCTGTGACGTATAGTCCAAGCAGTTAACTTCCGGGTCGAAAATAAAAGGCCACCCGTGGCTTGAAAAGGAAAAAGGTTTCTGTTTCTGGAGGGAAGGAAAGAAGAACCGAACAACGTTTAGCCCAAGTCGCTTGGTGGGTTTTCCAACTTCTCATCTTTACCGAAACCTTGAGCGTGGTTTTTGCCCCAGGCTTGTTTATTTTTGAAGACAGTGAGGAACAACAAAAATCCAACAAAAGCCCCAGATTGTATGGCATAGACCATTTTATTGTCTCTTGTTTGATTCCTTTTCGTCCCCAGATCTGCCTTGCCACTGGAGAAGTGTTTGTTTTGGGCTCCGAAAGTGACGGCCGAGGAACAGCCTTGGAAAGTCCTTGTAGGGCGACAACTCCCGCCGATGCAAGACTTGATGAGACCAGTTTCTACGCAAGAGCTTGACCTGTTTCAGGTCCAGAGAAACTCAGTGACACTCTTGCTTCCCAGCCTTCCTGGTCACTCTCAGATATTCCAGATTGAAAGTTTCCATGGCATCCATTGCCAGGTAGTAGATAAAATGGCGATTTTTAAGAGGGATGGCGGAGTGAAAATAAGGGGAACGTGCCACACTTCCTGACTCAGACTTTTCCAGCTCTTTCTCAGCTTTGTGCAAAGTAATATAAGCTTTGAGTCTGGAAGGTCACATATTTTAATGAAACCTTGAAGGGTAAACAGTAAGAAATTATTCTTCCAACTAGACTGAAAGCTAAATATTTTCAGATGTCCATAATTATTACCTTAAATTCTACAAGTGGAATCACTAGATCTTTATCCAGTTTAGTATAGTTGATTTACAATGTTTTGTTAGTTTCAGGTGTACAACTTAGTGATTCAGTTACATATATACATATAGCCATTCTTAAAGTTTATCCAGTTTTAAAAGCTTTTAATACACACTGCCCACCTACCTCCCCCAAATTTTGAAGCAATTTACAGTCATGTCTGACTCTTTGCGACCCCATGGACTGTAGCCCCCCAGGCCCCCCCGTCCGTGGTTTTTCAGGCAAGAATACTGAAGTGGGCTGCAATTTCCTTCTCCAAAGGATCTTCTAGACCCAGGGATCGAGCCCGAGTCTCCCATATTGCAGAAGATAACCCAGAGATGACCAACAGAATACCATGATTAAACGGTTAACAACAAAACATTTTGCTGGGTGACACAGTTTTATTAGAGAGGTTCAATATTCATGTTTCAAGGATTTTTATATTCTTCTGTAAATTGGTTACCCAGCCTTTGAGGTGTTCATCCATCCTTGATTTGTGAAACTCATTTTACAAAAAATAAACCCTTCTGATAGTCTTTATTTACTAAGAACCCAAGAAGAAATTCCTTTTACTAACAACAATCCTATTAAGTCCTTTAAACACTACTTTCCATGTATAGAAACTATAGATATAAAACTCTAGTTTTATAGTGAGCTATAAATTTTACAAGGTTCTCATGTCAATCTTTAAAAACCAAACTGTGGCCCAAATTTAATGTCCTTACAATGTTACCGTGCTAACATTTACTTTTATTCCTGGTCATTTTTTAGTTCCATCATTTTCTTCCTTTATGGAATATTAAACTCCTGCTATTTTGATTTTATGCTTTAAATGATTTGAAGTACTTTCTGGAATAGGTAAGGTATAATTAAATATGTAAACAATTCTACAATTTATTAACGATATTTATTGTACAACATGGAGAAGGCAATGGCAACCCACTCCAGTACTCTTGCCTGGAAAATCCCATGGACTGAGGAGCCTGGTAGGCTGCAGTCCATGGGGTCACTAAGAGTCAGACACGACTGAGCGACTTCACTTGCACTTTTCACTTTCATGCATTGGAGAAGGAAATGGCAACCCATTCCAGTGTTCTTGCCTGGAAAATCCCAGGGATGGGGGAGCCTGGTGGGCTGCCATCTATGGGGTCGCACAGAGTCGGACACGACTGAAGCGACTTAGCAGCAGCAGCAGCATTGTGCAACAGGAGTTCCCAGAGGCCAGTGTACATTTTTTGAAAATACCTGCATGAAGGGTTTTGAAAGGCCTCAAAATTTAAAAGGGTGGGGCTTCCCTAGTGGTCTAGTAGTATAAGACTGTACTTCTACTTCGTAGGGCATAGGTTCCATCCCTGACAGGGGAACTAAGATCCCACATGCCTTGGGGCTCAACCACAACAAATTTTTAAAGAGTGGAGGGGACTAAAAAAAGATGACTGTGTTTGTTTATACCAATTTAAAAAACAGGATTTAATTTCCAACCTTGAAATTAATCTCTTGACTGTTTTATGTGGAAATGTACTTGAGGCAATACTGTCATATTTAAGTACTGTTTGCACAATGTGAAATCTAAGCTATTAATGCTTTATTAGTATTCTAGTAAAGTCAGTTTCCCTAGAATAATCTACACTGGTTTGACTGAACTTTCTCATTATTCTTTGCAAAGACCTCACAAAGAAATTACTGGGTTAAAGGAGGTGAAAGAGTGTAGTGATTTAATTGCATAATCAAGTCAAAATTTATTGCAGGGCCATGTTAGTTTGTAGTAACCTGTCAACCTCAAGAAAAAGTGCACTAAGGAAGAAATGCAGATCTAGACTTTCAGTTTCTCCTGACCACCATGGTCGGCACTGAGGTCTCCTGAAATCACAGTGTTTCACTTATCCACAAATGGTCTTTTGTCTAATCCCACTTATTTCATGTTATTTTTTTCTCTTAATTGACTTTATTAATTTTTCCAAGGACAGAGTTAGGTTCTCTTGTATTCTCAACATCAAGTTCATCTGGGGCACCTAACACTGTTTAACTTTTTTTCTGAATCAGTGAATTGTCATTATGCATTTGTGAAGAAGCAATCCACAAATAATTGGTACAGTAAGAATCTTTCTAGTTTTATTTTGCTGGGAGATGTGTGATTTCCATCCGTACTTTGGTCAAGATCACTGATGAAGATGTTAACAAATGGATCTATTTACTATATGCTAGCTCTTGCTCTTACTTAGTGCTTTTAAGTGTTGCCTTTAAGGCAACTGTCACGTGCATTCTCTCATCTTGTCAACTGCCTATCCTAGATGGCAGTTCCCTTTCATTCTCTGAAACTTTCCCTTCTAGGCCTTGTGTGCTCTCGGGGAAGATGCTCTTCTGTACCCACCAGGTCAGTATCAGAAAAAACAAGAGCAGCTGAAGACAAACACAATTTTCCTGAGACAACAAATAAACAAAACAATGAGTGGTTGAAGTATGAATATGTAATTAACAACTTCAAATGTTCTGAGGAAAGGACCAGAGAGGAGCCAAAAGAACTGGACCCCATGTTTGCCTAAAGGGGTCCATATTGTGACCTGATGAATCCAAATGCTTACCTTTCTGCAGATCATTTGCAGAGTTCATTTAACTTCATTCAAAATACCTCTAAACCCACCACCCATAAGAATCATAAGATAAACAGTATAAAACATGTCAGTTCACACCCTTTTTCTTCCCCCTATCCTCCACGTGGCCCACTGGTAACCACAAACCTTTTGTCCATATCATAGAAAGGGTAAAGTATACAGTTTTTTTTTAGACTTTTTCTCATTCAGCATTGTTAGTAAGATTCAGTCTTGTAGTATATAGTATATCCCAGTTCAAACTGGAAGTAGCTTTGCTGAATCCAAAGAGGTTGCTTACCGCTGCTCCAGCTGCTGCTGTTAAAAATTCATTTAGATGCTGCTCCTATTAGCATTGAGTCTACTGGAGATAAAGCAGACCCAGTGTGAGACCTTTTGTTAGCCTAGAGACAGCTCCATCAGTCCTGCAGCAAGGATCAGGGAGTCTTTTCTAGGGGCACATTTTCTTGGGACTGGTACCAAGCAAGGTGCCCTCTTTATGGATTCTTATTCTTCCTCCTTGTCCCAAAGGACTAGATTAAGTGAAACTGAAATGCGATTCTGACTGGGTCTCTTCACCCAGTTTTTCAGTTGTGAATTCTTGAATCTAGAGTAGACCGACTTACTGTTAAAGGCAGGTATCCCAGGTCAACAGACTGGCACCCCAAGGCCTCAGCCTCTACCTTTCCATGCAGAAAAGCATAATCCATAGATATTGTGAGGCAGGATATCACGCATGTGGACATGTATTTCACCTTGGTCTAAATCTGTGTAGTATATACACATCTTATATACATAATAATATATGTTAGCACAAGTATTTATATCTATTGAGACTATTCAGCAAAAGCTAACCTAGCCTCATGGAAGCCCCTCTCTTCAGCTCCTGGTTATTTCTCTTAAAACCTTTTGAATAAATGAATCAAGACATATCACTAATGCATGATCTTCAGCCATGAACCACAATGTTGGGTACAAGACTAAGACCACAAAATCCTGTCGTCTTGAGGTCATTTCCAAAAGCAGAAAAGATTGAAAACCTCCTGGGAAAGAGCTGTCCTCTCAGCCTATTTTTCCTCCTTAGAATGTGGTGACCTCCATGACCCTAAGGGCTTAGGCTGCTGCTTCTGAGGTGGGAAGCAAGCTCTGGGTGCTCTGATCTATACCAAGCATTGCTGCATACCCCACTGTCAGTTATAATAAGGACTTGAGAGAACACTTTCCCAGAGAAGTGACAGGATTAGCCAATTCAAAGCTGTAGGCTGTGGAAGTCCAACACTACTTTCCAAGCACCAGTAGAAAGTAGTGACATGGTACTGTTTTATCATCTAGTTGAAGTAAAATATTGACCAGAATGAGATTCTCAACCCACAGAGGAAATCAACACCATTAACCATGCCTTTCCTCCTCCAGTATCTATGAACCCAATCCTACCAAGACCCAGAAAACAACAACAGTGTAAACAACATCCATACTCACTTTATTTTTAAACAGAGGAGCATGTACCCAAAGGAAGAGAAGACTAAGAACCATCATGGGGGCTTGCACTAAGTGATCTGCCTTGGCCTTCTGACCTCAGAATGCCTCATGATCCAATGGCCATGGGGATGGAATAGCCCCTTGTTGGTACACACATTGGAAAGGTAAACTCCCCCTTCCCTCGAAATAGAAGGGAGAAATGGAGACAAGTCAATGAATCCCCTGGAATATTGCCCCAGAATCCTTCCAGGGATAGGGTATGACTGACCATCAGTCCACAAATGGAAGTGGGAGGGGAGGTAGGAACAATGAGTGGTGCTGAGCAGTAAATAATCCCGGATGACACTTTTCATTAGAATGAAGGGAGCTGACAAAGCCCTCAAAAAGATAGAGGCAAAGAGCACATTGATTAGAACATTATCTCATAACAGAAGTGGGGTTATTTCCCACCATTACTGTAAAATAACTGTAACTAATCAAAACACATACAGGCCTCTTTAATGGAGTTAATAAAACTACAGCAGATTGAGAATCAAGGTTAGAGGTACTAATCCCAGAAGGAAAAACTGGGACAAAGGGATCCATGCTGACAGGACTTTATAGTCCAGCTGTGGGTTCTCAGAAAGAAGCCCTGGTTCAGAAATGACAGCAAATACCCATGATCACTATATGGGGCTGAGCCCAGGTGTAAATATCTTGAATGGCTCTCCTAACCCAAGATTATCCATATTCTTTATCCCCTCCAGTAATGTGTAAGACCAAGAAGTGTGGAACACTGGAGGTGGATATCTGGTTTTTATTTCTGGGCAATCTCGATAACTTATTACATCTCACAATTTTCATGGGGAGGGGATGGCAGAGAACACAGACATCCTGTCTTGCACTGCAGGGCATGAAAAGTGGTAAGAACATCCAGCTGTGATGGGCAGGAAGTGGCAAGGCAACAAGATGCCTCATGCCTGGGGTGGGAGTACGGCCAGCAACCCTTCTGGCCCGAGTTCACCTCCTCAAGGGGAGGTCTCCATGGAATGACCATGATTCCCAACATGGCCAGAAAACCCATCGATGCCACTCATGGGGCAGATGATCAGAGGAGCTGCGCTCTTCCCTCCAGAGTAACTCAGACTGAAGTAGGGCCGGACAGGCCCACAGAAGGTAGCATGAGAGAAAGTAAAGGTGTGACACCTCTCTGTCACGTTGTAGAAGGAGACCTCGCCAGCATCATAGTCCAAGAAAATCCCCACCCGTTGGAGAGGGGTCCGCAGGGGGAGGGCAGTCATGGGGGAGGTGAGAGCCCAGTATTCTTTCCCATACCACAAGGACACTGCCCAGAATCCATTCTGGGGGGCCGAGGTTACCCCGCCTTTTCTGCACACCGAGTCTTCGCAGACGCCTATGGTCCACTTGGCTTTATCGCCCACCTCTACCTCCCAATAGTGTCTCCCAGCGATGAAGCAGGGAGAGCCTAAGACACAGGGAAACAGATTGAACCGCTCAGGGTTGTCGGGCAGGTCCTGCTGGAGGTAACTGTACCGCACCTGCCGCAGGTTATCAGAGAGGATCAGGCTGGGGTAGGCCGTGTCCGGGTCCAGAGTCACATCCACTGCAGAGAAACACAGGGGCAGAGGAGCGTTAGCCGAGCACCAGGACAGCCCACTCTGAACACCCAGCTTTTCTCCTAGCCCTGAGAAGAGAGGAAGAGCTCTCCAGCAAAGACACGTTCAACTTTATACATTCAAGTCCACCCTGAAGCTGACATTCCCAAAATTACTGTGTGGATTAGCTAGTTATCTTGTTTAGCTAGGATATATTGGAAGTACTGAAAATTTACTTCCACTTGCTTTTCCACATTTTAAACCACAATATCCATTATAAGCTGAATTTAAGGTTTTCTTATGTGTATGTCCAACCCCTTAATCTGAATGCCTCAGAGGTTGGAAGTTTCACAGAATACAGTATTTAGATAGACAGGGTGTGGTGTAGCACTCTACAACCAATATTAACATCTGCTGTGAAACATACGGATATTCACATTATGTCAGATAAAGACACTAAATAGTGCCACATGCATCTTATAATCATGTGATGGTTTCCAGTTTTAAAATCACTGACATATTCTCTCACTTGTTCTTCATATCTTGTTCAGAAGGAAGAGTCCCTAACATTATCTCTCTGAACCATAGTTCAGGTAGGCTGACTGGCTTCCACAAAAGGCTCATGATAACTGGTGGAGGTGACCAAGAACCTCAGAGGCATGGTTCTTGGTTCAACAATCTGTTCACAACAGTTGCCCATTTATTCCCTCATGTCATGGGTAGACCTCATACCTCCAACCAGACATTTAACTCCAAGGGTAGGGCAGTGCCTTATGCTCTTTGGTTCCCTCTACTGTACCCTGTGCAATATTAGGAAATGCAAGACATAAGCAACATATTCAATCTTGAAAGAATTAAATATGGATCACAACCAGGGGACATTAATGAAAGAAGACCCGCTGTTTGTAGAGTCTCTGTTCATGATGAAGAAGGAAATGGCAACTTGTCCCAGTGTTCTTGCCTGGAGAATCCCACGGATGGAAGAGCCCAGCGAGCCCCAGTCCATGGAGTCACACAAGAATCGGACACGACTGAGCAACTAACACACGTATTTGTCCCTGAAGAAGATCCCATGAAACAGGTGGTCATGTGAATACAAACCTCAGTTGAGTTTTGAGATCATAGATTTACCCAGTCTGTGAACCTCAGGTGAAGGTGATTGTCAAGGGGAGGGAGAGTTTCAACTCTAGATCTGAGACACAGAGAAGGTATGGTGCAAGATTTTTCCTAGACTTTCCCTAGCTCTCAGAATAAGAGGCAAGCTCAGTCTTTTCGGAAGGATGCTTTTTGTAAACCACACACTGCCCAAGGCTGGGCGGGCACAGCAGTGGACCAGTGTATTAGCAGTGGTAGTGCGCTAATTTTTGAAAACCGTAGTTTCAACTCTATAATCCTTCCTAGCACCTGAATTCAATTTCCTCCTATTTCATAGGTCCATGGTTTCAGATCTGAGGCATTTTAGGAAGCAAATATTATAAACACATAGAAATAACAAATTTTTTGTGATTATTATCATTTAAAAAAAATAAATGTAACCTAAAGGATTCAAATCAAGGCACTTTCCAAAATCATTCACAATAGTAGTTAGGTTGATAGGGATTTTTACTCCTTTTTCCAAATGCTTTTGTCTCCTATCACCCACCTGAGTATAACTGGGCCTCTCTCAATTCTGAAAAAAAAAAAAAAAAACAAAAGAGAAAAGAAGTTATGGAAGTTATCTGAGTATTTCTAGGAAGTACCCAACAGAAGGAGCTTTAGGAGTCATCATAAAGCCATGGTTTCCATTAGAACCCCTGCTGTCAGTCCTGCATTAATTTCTTCATATAGCATAAGACTCCATCTTCCAGCCAAGAGCTCAAAAGGAAGAGGGGCTGGGAACTTTGAGCACAAATATAACACAAGCTCAACACTGGAAGCATATGGGGTCAAACTGAGGCAAGATTAAGGATTCCACTCCTCAGTGGGTCAGCTGGCTCTGCAGGGAGAGACATGGTTCTACGTCCACATCATACATA